CCCTTCTGAAGCTGCTGCCCCCGCGACCCGACCCCGGATAGGTGGAAGAAAATGGATGGATGGATGGATGGATGGATGGATGGATGGATGGATGGATGGAAAAATATTATTACATTTGGTCGGCAGCCCTCAGATAGATTTTCATTTTGGGGAAAAGCTTTGTGCAGCCTTGATGTATGTTTATAAACTGAAACATCCTAAATTTAACATTAATTATTTTAATACAACAGTCATTTCTGTAGTTTTTGGAGAGGTCACCTCCTAATAAATGTCATTACAGAAAATCTAACTGTTCATTTTAAATCAATCCTTGTACTTTTAATACTTAAGTACAAAAAGTATCAGATACTTTAAGACTTTTACTCAAGTAATTTTCGTAAAGGAGACTCACTTTTACCAAAGTCATGTTTTGGTAGGATACTTGTACTTTTACTCAAGTATCACTTTGTGGTACTTCATACAACACTGTTCTCTGGTAATATTTTCTATATATTCATTTTCTATTTTAGCATAACTTTAGTTGCAGTTTTTACTGTTTTGTTGAACTGTGACTTTTGCATTTTGTTGACCCATACTGTCCTGTTAAACATAAAACAAAGCATTTCAGCATGAAAGCTCCTATTTCAAACGTGTGAAAGTGTCCTGTATCCTAACTACATCTCTGTAGTTTGTAACAAACTAAACCGTGTGAAAATCGGGCAAAGATTCGTGGAGTTGTGATTATTTAAGTTGGGCTATTTTAATAAGCTGAGAGCGCAAACGGGACTCATCCAAGATGGCGGCCACGCAGCTCCGCTACAACAGGGAGCGTCAGGACGTCTTACGTATGACGTCTGCGTTAACGTCAGCCAATGACATTTAAGAGCGTGTCTGTCGATACTAAAGCTCGCTGCTCGCTCGGAGATGATCCAACATGAGCCCACGGGTCACGGAGACTTAAGTTTACAGCGCTGCTCCACGAAGAGTCTCGGATGGACACGAGGAAACGACAGTCCCAAAACGACGGCGGTCTGCAGGACGGAACCAGCCCCAACAAGGTGCCCCGGCCCGTCAAAAAACAACATGTAGCTGCTGTGATTCTGGCCCGCGGAGGCAGCAAGGGAATCCCGCTGAAAAACATCAAACCGCTGGCTGGAATCCCCCTGCTCGGGTGGGTTCTGAGAGCTGCTGCCGACTCCGAGATGTTCGACAGGTACTTTATATAAGTAACATGTTGCAGAACCCCACACACTGCGTGGATTTGTCTGTTAGCGTTATAGCTATATTACCTTCTTCTTCTGTTGTTTAATGGCGGTTGGCAAACAACGTTTAGGTGCATTACCGCCACCTGCTGGAATGGAGTGTGGGCCAGAAGGCTCCCAAAACAAAACAAAAAACRCTAAATCCTAACAAATAAACCTGTGGTTTTTAAGAAATTAACTAAAGCCTTGAAAACAATTTCTGCAGAACTTCCATTCATTATTTCTCTAATTGAAAACTGGAGCTTTTGTTGTAAAATCTTGTTCTTTAATATTTTCCTCTTATATTTATATTTATTACAATACATACATAAAAATATGGTGATATAAAAATTTAAAAAATTGAGCGGTGGTAATTATACTTTTATCATTTGTATGGACATGTTTTTAAATATTATTTTTGCCATAAAAAACGCGTAATAAACATGAACCTACAGCGGGTCAATTAGTTCTTCAAATG